TTATCAAAATAAATCGTTAGAAAATTTTCCTGAGAACATGCAAAGTAATTATGGTATTTTGAGGTTTGCAAAAGAAAAATTTGGAAGTCAGTATTTGTATTACGACGATGAAGAAGATGGTGCTTCCGGTATAGATATAATAGATCCTGGAACGCCGATGATGTCCCGAGCTAATGACGGATGGTACGTGTGAAAATGAATAAAATAATAGTAATAGTAATAGTAAATAAGTAATAGTAAAGACTGAAATACATAGTAAATCGTATTATCATTATAAATATACAACATATAATATTATACATATATATACTTATTTATAAATATATATACATTATAAATATAAATATACAACATATAATATACATTATAAATGTACATATATAGAGAATAATAATAAAAAGTAGAATAGCAGTTTAATTTAATATGAATGATTTTTTTTTAAATTTAATATTATTACTAGAAATTTAACATTATACTTTAAATTTAAAATATATGCTAAAACATATTCTGTAATATTATATATTATTAATTATATCTTATTTCATTAATAATTATTACATTTCAATTATTTTATTTCATTACACTGTTTTATTATTTTGTTATATCTTAATTACTAATTAATTATTTTAATTATTTGGTATATAAGAATTATTAATGGTATATTAATACACATAAGAAATTAGATATAATAAATCAATTTTCATTGCAAGTGATATCTGTATAATATACTATAGAAAAAAATATTTTGAAAACAAATATCTCTTTAAATTTTCTTTATTACTCGAATTATGTAGATTAATTCATTCTTGGAAGCTTTAGAAGTTTAAAATGGAAATACATTTTTGAATTATCATTTCTAAAACGATATAAGAAACATTACAAATTTTGTAAAATTATTAAATAGAAACTAAAAATTGTTTAGTATACAAATTTCTTATTTATATATTATATCTGTATATGCATCTCTTTACATAACATTTATTAAATAACATAACTTACATGCGTATAATAAATGTAGAAAATATGAAATAGGTTTTCTAGAAAAAATACTTCAACTACATCAATAACGTCTAGATTATCAAGACAGGAAAGCTCTTCAAGAAATCAAAGCCGGACACCATCGTTAAATTTAAGTAGACAATCCAGTTTCAATAGAGGACCGTCGCTAAGAAATCTTAATAGGTAAATACATATATATTTGCTGTCAAATTTGACAAATTTAGTAAATTATTATTAAAGTATTATATAATTGTATACAGTATTAATTAAATAATATTTTATATTTCGATAATATCTTATTTCTACAATTTTTAAGTTTCATATTAATTGGTGGTAACTTGAAAGTATATTAATATTAGATAATAAAAATTTTTGTTTAGTAAGTATATTAATATTAGATAATAAAAAACTTTGTTTAGTTTTAAATATCGAATACTTTCACTTTTCAATTACTTTAATGGTTAAAATTAAATGAATCATTAGTTTCGTATTTATAATTCTAACTTTGTACATGCTGCATATTATATATTTATTTTGTAATAATTATGTTATATGATGATTATGTTAATTAATATAAATATAAATATGTAAGCATTAAAAATTTTCATCAAACATTTCATGTTGTCTTAAAACAATTTTCTCCCGTTGTTTCAATGTTTGTCCTTCAATAATTATTTACAGACAAACTAACGAGACAGAGAAAAGTCGAAAAAGATTTTCAAATTATCAACCAGCCCCATTGATTATCGTTAATGAATCTTGCGAACATGGGGACTGTGAATATTGCAAAGATCCAAATTGTAATCATAAATTCCAACAAACGTTACTCGAAGAAGTTGAAACTGAACTGTTGAGAGAAGTAAGTTTAATTATTTAAAAGTAATGAACAAACAATGAACAATAATAGTTTAATAGGCAACAAGTAATAAACAATGTTATTTAAATCATGTAAAATATATTTAACAAATAGAGAAATATATTCATTTCAGGAACAAAAAATCGTCCAAGAAATTAGGAAGAAAACGTTTCTCGAAGCGCTGATGATTTTTTTCGATTTAGATCTGCTTCGCGATCTTGTTTACGTGAATATGATGTTGGGTATCACATTCGCCTATTTCACGGAGGTGAATGTCTCACTTTTAATGCCATTCGTATTGGGTGAATATGGTTTTTCAAAAAATCAAATTGCAACTGTGATGTCGATTCTTGCCGGTTTTGATGTGTTCGCTAGATTGACAATTCCTTTTATTGCCAATTTTATTGGATGGCAAAACAGGACGTTCTTCCTAGTCGGTATTTGCGGAACGGCAACAGGTCGGATCGGTAAGGAAGGAATTTGAGTCATTTAATTTTGTTCTTTTAGTTTTATAATTAAAGATATTGGAAATATCTTAGTAATAATTAAGAGAATAAGATTGTGAATTTTTGCTCATTTTGGCCAAAACTTCATTGGCGTTTTCTTCCTCGAAGACTATACATTTTAATCCATTAACGCCCGTTGTACTGAAATTTCAAGATATTGGACTTTGAATTATATCTGTTTGTTATTTCGTCAGTGTATAACATTCAAAAATTCTTGATATGTAACATTCAAAAACAAAATCGATTTTATTCAAATCCTTTGCAGATAAGTATGTTATGCATATATCTGTTTTTTTTTTTTTTAAATAATATATAAGATATTCGCATAGTCTGTCTTTTGATGACAATATCATCACTTGGAAAATATGAAAGAACCCAAACAAATACATCATTTTTTTAATATGGTTAATCTTCAAATGTATCCTTCATTTAAGATGCTTCTAATGAAATTTTGTAAAAAACAAAACAATCACTGTTCAATAAATATTCTGTTTGGATAGTAGGATAATTTGAGTTCAGATCTATCATTGTATAATAACTATAAATATATACTATATGTACTATGTAGGTAAAAGGATAAATATTTTGTATATTTTTATCAATTTTTTTCAGTGCTAGCACACATTCAAGATTTTGGAGTTACTTTAGCAATTGCGGTTCTAATTGGTGTTGGAAAAGGTTTACGAACAATCTTCATGGCTCTTATAATCCCTGCTCACGTTCCTCTGTCGCGGCTTCCGGGCGCAACCGGTATCCAACTTTTAACTAGCGGTATTGTTGCATTGACCTTAGGACCAGTAGTGGGTTGGATTAGAGACGTAACTTCAAATTACGCAATTATGCTTCACTGCTTAAATATTTTTACATATTTGACTGTAATTTTATGGTCGTCAGAAACTTGCTATGTGAAACGAAAATCAAGGAAAACGGGAGAAGGAAAACAAACGTCAAATAAATTAAACATTTAAAACATCGACTGCCCTTGCTATATTAACTCGGCGTATTATTCCTGTTCTTTTTCGTTCGACATGGAATGAATAGAAAAATTCTACTTCCTTTTTTTCTGTAGATAAATATTGTCTTTTCATCTGACAACGAACAAGAAAATTCTGTATCAAATATACATAGTACTCTGGTCGAAGTGTATTAGTGTATTTCATTGTACATGTGTTTCACAAAAAAGTTTTTCAAATAATTATTTATTAAAATGGTTACAAAGATGATTTATTTATTATTTAAGTCGTAACTTAAGTTAGTAGAAAGAAGTTTCAGTTCGACTTAAATCATTCACATTCTCATTGCACCGATAATGTGTTAAATTTATATAATATGGTTATAATTAAATAATCTTTAAACTGACACAAAATAAATAAATAAGAACATATATTTTATATTCGTTTGAAATAAAAGTACTTCGAATTAAATATTTCTGAAAGATAAAAAATAAGTATGATTACTATTAATTAGTTTTCTATCTTTTTAGTAACACTGTGGGCAATTTTAATTCATCGTTCATAATTTGATTTGTTAAGTGAATCAATATATATTATCTTGTGTATATACAGGAATTATACGTAATTAATATCAAATTTTGAATCTTAAATTAAGTCATTTTATATCATAATTACTTTTTTACGCGTGATCTATCAAATAAATAAATGTTTTTTTAATGTGTATACGTCGCAAATATTAAATTAGTAACTTATTATCATTGCAAAAATGATAATAATCCACATTGTGGAATTCAAATAAAGATTTTCTGTTATATAATGATATCAGGCTGCTTCACAATGATAGGAAAGTGCGCAAATTAACATTTACGAGTGCTAATATTCAATGGAAACGAGAAATACATATTCTAATGTAACAATGTTTCAATGTTTCAATTAATCAAACCTCAAAGTAAACTATGCTATTAAAAAAATTTATAGAAAAGAGTAATATATCGTTATTTTCTCGGTCACACATTACAGAATCCTGATTTAAAAATAATACATGCACCACTATATATTCATCGTATGGAATGAATTCGATCGTAAGATGTCATAAAAATTAAATAATATAATATTTAATTTAAAATATTACAAAAAAATTAAATAATTTAACATTAAAATAATAATTAAAATTTAGAATTGTCTTAAAACAGATATAGAACCGGAAATTAAATTCTTAGGAATTTAAAAAAAAACTAATGTTATATATTACATAACATATTGAATTAATTATTGTTACAAATTATAAAAACTATTAAAGTTTATATTAAATATATGATCTACGAGATTGTAATTTTATTTATAATTAATATTAATTTAATTTCTGATGGAAATTATTTAAACTTACTATGAAATTTTTTTAGATTTTTACAAAAAATTATTTTAGAATCTGATTATTATATAAAAAATTGTATTATTATTGTTTAACTTTTCATTTTTCACTTATTTTTGCTGTATTTTTTTTCTCATTTTATTAAAGTGATAAACGTCAATTTAAGTACTAACTCCATTGCTTAAAAATTAAATTAAAATTAAGTTTCATATGTTATGATTTTATATTACTAATAAGATTGCTTGCTTTTGCGTTATGCAATGACAAAGCAGTATAAAGACAAAGATTAGATTAATCAATCGAAACACAAGTACTTAGCTTTATCGAAGTATATTAAGCATTCAGTTTGTATTAACAGCTCTCTTAGTACCTGTTAGAAATATGATATTAACGTAGTTTATTGTAATTAATTTATTATGTTACAAAATTATGTCAATTTCAATCAATCATGGTGAAACTGTGAGATACAACATAATAACGTAATTAACAATCTGATTTTTTTTTTTATTTATTCAAACAGTGCAAAATGTGTGAGTGATTTGTAATTTACATTGCAATGGTGTTATTTGTTATCTAAATATTATGAGCGTACGAAACATAGTAATGTAACTGTTAAAAAATAAGTTAACTAAATAATGGTGAAGAAGATTATTTAAAAGTTGATACATCGTTATTGTGTAATATCAAGAAATTATTGCAATAACATTTTATTATGGTGTGATACATTTGGATAATAAAGAAAAGAGAAAAGTAACAAGATGAGTAAATCAGAAACTATCAAACTACCTCCAGATGGAAACTGGGGTTGGATGATTGTCCTGGCATTTTCATTAAACGGAGTACGTTAATAAACAATTAAAATTAATAATAAATTTATAAAATCTTTTATCAAATAGCGAAATTTTGAAAATTAATAAAATCAAACTGGCGTTGTCATCATAGGTCAAAGTATACCAATCTTTACTGATAAAATATTGCTATGTAACGTTACTCTCCCTTAATTGAAACAAATTTCTATGGAAACATTTGTTTATCTTTAGTTACAAAATGTATTAATTAAAATTGATTCTCGATTAATATTTTCCTACCGGTTATGTGATAATTTTATATTGTTATTTTATCATAGGGATGATAATTATTTTTTATTTCTGAGCGATTTTAAGTATTAGTTGCCTGTAAAATGATAATTTCTATATAATTCTTTCATTAATAAATATAATGCTTTATTATTGAGTAGTTTATACTCAAGAAGAATTTCATTACATATGTAATATGAAAATGATGTAACATATTTTACGATTATTAAATAATACATATTTATCAATTAATAATTAATATTAATATTATACACTGTTAATAATACGGAATTTTTCTTATATGTAGATATGTACTATATCCATTATGCAAGGATTTGGATTAATATTTAAAGATACTTTTCCTCGTTTGGGGTTCAATGCGACAGAAGGAACGATCATCCTTAATACAAATCTAGCTTTTGGCATGATACTTGGATTAATAAATGGTCCCCTTTTACGAATTTTCGGATATAGAAAAATGGCTGTGATCGGTTCTACATTGTTTAGTAGTGGAGTAATTACAACAACATTTGCCAACTCTTTTACCTCTTTAATGATATCTTACGGTATATTCGCATGTAAGTAAAATACACATTGTACGCTACTATGATAAAAATCTATTTACAAATATATAATTGAATATAAAAGAAAAATTATATAAATATAATAAAATATATAAAAATTATACAAATATAATTAAATATAAAATATTTAAATATATAATTAAATATAAAAGAATATGTTAGTAGATTGATATTTTTGAAAACATAATTGAAAGGATGGAAATTCGATAGAAAATTGATTTAAATTAAATTTTATAGAAAGCACTTAGATATTTTACTTATACGTACTTCGAACATTTTATAGATTTTTTTCGTATTTTATGAATTTTACACTTTGCAATTTTGTACTATGAGATTTTCTATAAATGCGTAAAATTTCTATAATTATAACTATTAACTATCCGATTCTTTTCTATTGAATGAGTATTGGGTTCTTCTGCTAGAGACTTTTTCCTTTTTTAAATCAATTAACACACAAATTATTATGTTTCATGATAGTTTGTTTATTTTACTATTTATTAAAAAAATACAATTATCAATCATTAGATTAGATTGATATTTTATTTCACCTTATGTGATGATGTTATAAGTAAACATTCTCATTGAAAAGTCCTTGTAAAAAAATATCGCAAGTGTTAAAATTGAGTGAAAATAAATAGAAGCACGTGTCAATATTTTTTTGTAAAACTAATATGGTAACACAGTATTTTCATTATGCTTAAATTAAATTTCATATGTATAACTTGAAATTTTTTAAAATTAAAGTTTTATATATATAACTACACGTTATTCTATCATATAATATCATAATCGATATTATATGTATCGACGTAGTTCTAACATATAATATCATATCATACAATTTATATTAAACTAAATTATATATATTGTAATGATATATATAATTATTGTATAATATTATAATATATATGCATGATTTGAACAAATTATAAAAATAGAATATAGATTATAATTATATAACATAGGTAACAATTTATTTATCACTTATTACAATTATTTATAAGAATCTTTGAATGAAACATACTACTACACAGTACTATTATTATTGTTATTATTATTATTATGACTATTATTAATATTAATTCATAATAAATTGTTAAAATTTATAAAAAACACAATCAAATTAGACAAAGTGTCTGATATCTTATGATAGGAAATATTTGTATTGTGTATGAAACGATATTTTTTTATAAATAATATTCTTTTTTATTTTTTTATACAGCATTGGGTTCGTCTATGACAATGTCTGCTTTTTCGTATGCATTGAATTCCTATTTTACCACAAAAAGAGGGCGTGCAATGTCTTTAGCAATGACACTTGTTGGAGTGGGACCAATAATCGTACCTCAAGTGACTACTCTCTTAATTTCATATTATGGATTTCAGGTATTTTTATTTAATTTAATTTTTAAATTGTTTGTATTATATTTAATTTTTACAATTATATTTACACATTAAGATGTGAATGAAATAGATTCGTATTAAATTATGGATTAAACTGAGAACAAAATTACAGATAAAAACTACTATGTGTAGTATTTTGAATAATAAATATTCCAATTAAAAAACTCATTTTCTTGGTATTAGAATTACAACAGCTTAGAAATTACGATTATAATATTGTAAATAAATAAACACAATAACTATTATTCACTCTTGTTCTTATTGTTATTATCTGTTTTGTTATGAGATAATTTAAAGAAATACTCCATCATATTTAGCCTAAGAAAAAAACATAATATACACACTATATATAATTTATAATATAATTATAATATAATTTATATATAATACAGTAAATAATAAAAAAATATTTATTAACAGAATAATAGCCAGTCACTCGAGATTATTAAAAATGTTTAATTGAACAAAATGATTTGATTTTGATTTTGTATGTATAGGCTGTATAAAAATTAAATGTAAAAATCATTATTTGTAGATTTTTTTTTTTCTCCTTATAATGAGTAGAATACGATACAAAAGAAAAAAAATTTAATGCTGAAAATTATGCTCAAGTTCAATTTTGCACGAATCATTTTACATATTTCCACTGATTTGGAGATATAGAATCACACTGTGGTTGTGTTTGCATTTAATTTAACACTTTGTGAATAAAAATGAAGATATTTAATAAAGTATGAGTTTTATATTAAAATATGAGTTACATATTGAAATATGAGTTTTCTGTATTGATTTGAAATTCAGTTCAACATTGAACAATGCGATGAAAAATTATTTAAAATATTTGATTGTATTATCAATTTATTAAATCGAACATGTCAAATTATTACTTTATTTCTTTACGGAGTGGAAGACTTATAATACAAAAATTTAACTATTAATTAAAAATTAATAGATCTGTCAAAGCTCTTTAGAATTCTTGGAGAAAAATTATTTCAAAGACTAGATTTAAAAAAAATTCGAACAGAAATGTTTTAATCTTTACAATTTTCAATTTTAGGGTACGATATTGTTATATGGAGCTTTCACTCTACATGGATATATAGCTAGTTCATTACTTCATCCACTCAAATGGCATACGAAAAATGCAAAATCGGAAGCAGTGAACGACGAATCATTCAAGACTGAAGACGATGATAAAATGATAGGTGAAAACATTTTTTCAGAGAATACAAAAATAAAACAAAATTTTTGTTTTTATCGAATAATTATTTAATTATTATTTAAAAATTTATAATTAAATTGTTTAATCATTATTTATAATGTAACTTATATTCTAATTACTATTGTATTTATAAATTTAATTGTGTAATTAATAACTGTGTAAAATACAAATTTAATTATGTAATTATATTAAAAATCAGAATATTAAAAATAATGAATTATTTTTTACTTTTTTAATTGATTATTTAAAATCGTATTGGTCATTTGAAGTACATTATTATTCGTAATTATTTTATATCATAATTAGTCAAATCTTATATCAGATCATGAAAATTCTCGATTGAAATATTTAATTTGTTGCAGATCGGGAGAACAATGACGTAGAAAGTCTGAAAAATTCCGTATTAGACTTAACTACGCAAAGAAGAAGGAAAACTACTATTTCAAGTATTGATCACGATACAGAAATTGGAAGTATATATGGTTTGGATATATCCTATGCTCGACAACTATCTGAAACATTGAATGGTAAGCGATTAATATGACTATATAATAATAATAATTAGATAAAATTATAACAGTTTAAAGTGTCGATAATTTTTCATTGTTATGTACACGAATATTAATTATTAAAAGGAATGTTAATGAAGTTTCTTTAGGGGAAAAAGATGCTGACAAATATACAATTCTTGAAAATGGCCAAATGGGGAAGGAACGCTTAAGAACTCAACGATATAACCGTCGATGTATGTATGTTTTCGAAAACAAAGATAATTAAAGCATAAAGAAAAATAAAGAAAAAAGTAATTAAAAATATATATATATACTCTTGTTTTAGTTAAAAGTATGGATACAATTAATCTCGGCAGCAGTATTAAAATTTTTGAAGAGAAACCTTTGACAAAATGCAGTAGCATAAATGAATTTGAAGCGAATGATCATCAGACTACAATGGAGAACGATACATTATTAGCAGAAAGTAATGGAAACACAGTATCAAATACAAATATTGACAGTAATGAGAAGTATGTATTCACATTCAGAATAATAAATTAATAAATTTAAGGAAATGAAATCTGTTTGGACGTTAAATTAGCATAACGCAAAGTGTATTCCTGTACGTGCGAGTCTAAATAGAAATTTTTAAAAATTCGTCATATTGGAAGTATTGATTTTAGGAAATTCTTTTTTAGTACATTTTTAAAATATTTTTATGCATTAAGATCATAATTGTAATTTTATCACTACTTCTTTTTTGTTTTATTTTATTACATATAATCACTTATTATAAATTGTTTCCTATTTTTTGTCAAGTAGGTACTCTGTAGATACAGTTTTTAATGTGTAAAAGTCAATTCGAAGTACAGAGAAGTATACTTTGAAAATGAATATTATTCTTAAATATATAATTTTATAATTTCATATTTACGTGTTCTTTTAAAGAAAAGTATATATTTCATTATATTTTAGGTAAATTTAAATTTTAGTTTCAACTTATTTACACAATATAAATTAGAAATTTAGTAAATATTACATTAGGTATTTCTTTTGAGGGGGGAATATTTACAATAAATATTTAATTTTTTGAATCTTCACGGATATTTGTTTAAGCTGATCTTAATTTCTTTTTAAATATTGAAAAGTGTAATACAGACATAAATCAGAAGATTAAAATATAATATTTTAAATAAAAATATAATACTTCTAAAAAAATATAAATTTTAAATAAAATTTCCATCAATATCATATTTAGTCAATTTTATTATTTATTTTGTTAATTATAGGTCTGAAAAGAAATCGACTATAACACGAATACTCGACATAATATCAGACTATTTCGATTTGGATTTATTGCGAGATCCAATTTACGTAAATATAATGTTGGGGATGTCTGTCGCTATTTTTGCCGAAATAAATTTCTCTCAACTAACACCTTTCTTCCTGATGGACATGAAAATATCAACTAATCAAATTGCGACTGTAATGAGTACTATTGCCAGTGTAGATCTGGTTTTCAGGACTCTTGCTCCCTTTATTGGGGAATGGCTTCATCAACCACCGAGAATAATGTATCTCTTAAGTTTGTGTTTCTTAATTATCAGTCGGACATGTAAGTAT